TAACCCAACTGGGGCAGAAGGGGGAGGGCAGCTATCGGGGGAGTCTTCCTCAAGGCGAGTTCTGAGCTGAACTCAGAAAAGCGGGCAGAAGCTGGTATTGCTGAGAAAGACGAGGTGCAGGACAGAATTGGAGGTCAAGGGACCAGAGTGTATGAAGGAAGAGCAGGGCTCACTGCTTCTCAGGGGGGTGCAGTCTAGCTCGAGTGCAGAGCTGCAGAGAGTGACAGGTGAAACGGGCATGACCAGGGCATCACAGGAGGGCTGCAGAAGGGGTCCTCTGAAGGCCTGCAGTTGGAGGCAAAGAGATTTCAGGGTACAGAGTAGGTAGACAGTGCCTGGTCTAGAGCCAGGGACCTGAGGAGGAGGCTGGTGACAGAAGCCAGGGCACAGGTGGTGGAGGAGAAGAGGGCTGGCAGGAGGCCAGGTCTGGGACCAGGCACTGGAGAAAGGAAAGCAAGGGAGGCTTGGTGGCAGGCAGGGAGGTGTGGTTCCCCCAGAGGCTGGGCCCACGCTGTCCCAGACAATATCCTCAGTGGCTGGGTTAGGGATCAGGCCCTGGGGAGAGGGCGCTAGCCAGCAGGATACAGGGTAACCTTAGCTCTGGGAAAGAGGACACAAGTATCCGGGAGGTTGTGGGGGGAGATGAGCTAGTTCCCTGGGCCTTGTGGATTTCTCCCATTGCCCCGGCTGCCAGGAGGGTGAGAGCCCAGACAATACTACACAGGCAACAGGCCGGGTGTGGTGGGTGCCGCTGCTTGCAATACGGGATCTAGCTCCAGAGCCACTTCCACATAGTTCCTACCTGCCCCCCGCCCAGATGAGGAGGCTGAGGCTCAGAGGTGAACAAGTTCTGGGGTAGTGCCACAGAAAGGGCCCCCAGAAGGGTCTGAGTGTCTCCTCCAGGCCATGTGACTCCAGGGCCCACCTGGAGAGGCCCTCAGGCCAAGTGCCTCCTGTGGGCCCAGGGTGGGGTACTGTATGACCCTCTTTCTGCACAAGAGGCTGGAGGGCCTAGTTGGGGTGACATCCACACACAGCCTCACAATTCAGCCTCCCTCATCACACCCTCTGGCTCTTCCTCAGGGAGGAACATTGGGGCTGTAACAGGATTTTCCCTGGGATCCAGTCTCCAGTCTCTGCTTGGTACTCCTTTCCTTCTCTGTGCCCCCTCTCCCACGTGGATAAAGCCTCCCTCGCACCTCCAGTGACTCAAGGTCTGTGAGTATTATAGATCAGGGCTATGAGTATCCCCTTCTCTGTGGTACCTTGCAGGGACTGGCATTGCAGCCTTGCTGAGAAGACAGCAGCGCCCCTACTCCGGGCTGGAAGTGCTTCCTGACAGATGAGCCCCATCTACTCCTAGTGCAGAAGGGCAGGGGCTCCCTGGTGCCCCCTGCCTGCCCTCCTTCCTTCTGTGGAAGAGATTTCAGAACACAGAGCCACGTAGCCCAGCCCATCCTGGATAGCACCCTTGGGAGCAAAGCCGTCCTTGTCCCTGGCAGCTCCAGCTGATGTAAGACCAGCATCTCCTGCACGGTGGGGACCATATCCCCAGGAGCACCATCACCCCATAATGTAAAGGATGCCCCTCAGTGCCTGGCCAGGGCCTGAGATCCCCATGCTCTCTCCATAGAGATAGTCATGCACCCCACACAGTGGGCCTGCAGTGGAGCTGCTCAGATGTATGGGGTGGTCCAGCCGCCACAAAGCAGCAGAGAAGGCTCAGCCACATCCGGTGCCCAGGGCTGGGTGCTGCTTCACCCGGGCACTGCTAGCAAAACTCAGTGGCTTGGAGCAGCGACCACAAATAACTCTCGTGATGCTGCGAGTCAGGAAACATGTCGAGCCTTCCAGATGTTAGCCCCTTGGCCAGCAGGTAAGGCAGTGCACACTGAAACACTCAGGGTCACGTGAGGCCACCATCAGTGGCCCTTTCCACATAGGAGCTGCTTTAGAGCAACCAGCGAGAGCTGGGCCACTGTAGACTCACGTATGCACGGCCAGGGCTGCTTTACGCTTTGAGGTCCCCTGGGAGGGCTTGGGCAGTAGCTCGGAGGATGGCAACATGCGTACTTAGCATGTCTGCAGCCCTGGGGTGGGCCCCAGCCTCCCCCCCCCCCAAAGAAAGAAAGGCATCCCTCAGAGATTTAATGACTCTGCTTTTCAACAATGATGCCTGCTGCTGGGAACCAAATGCCTGCTCTCTGGAAGAAACTGGGACAACACAAACCCACAGAGGACCTTAGAACTAGTGCCACCTTACCACCCAGACTCCAGCAAATACTCGCTCAGCTCTGGCTTCTCCCTACGTGTCAGGGGTTGTGGGTGACAGGAGCCCTTGACCGCACCGCGTGGGGCTCGCCATGCAGCGGGAGGGGAGTGTGTGCTCTGCTTTCTGAGCTTCTGCCCACACCCTCTGTGACGCTCAGGGTGGGTTGGGGGCGTGTGGAATCTGACCCATCTTCACCTTCGCTCTGCACGCTCCTCATGGCCAGAGCAGGGGACACCATCAGCAGCCGCCACATCCCCCCATGTGTCACTGGCATACCCTTAGACCCAGCCACATCCTGAATCACCAGTCCCCTTCTCGCTTGTTGGATAGCCAGGAGAGGCACTTTGGAAAAAAAATCGCTACCTAGGTGCCATGTTGTCTGCACACCAGTGCCAAGAGTTGACCTGACAGGTATTGACAGGGCTGCTGTGACCCTCAGAGGCCACTATCCCTGGGGACAGCAGCTGTGTGGGGCCATGCCTGTGGCTCTGTGAGTGCCTGTGCTGCGACAGTAGGCAGCAGCTGCCCTCCCCACTTCATCTGTCTCTGTCTGTCTGTCTGTCTGTCTGTCTGTCTGTCTGTCTGTCTGTCTGTCTGTGTCTGTCATCTCTTTCTCTTAATTTAGAGACAG